CAACCAGGTTTATCTTAAATTAGTTTTGGCTATTTTGAAGGCGGTTTATGTGCACTGAACTTCTGTTTTGTTACAGGTTTAAACCAGTTTCCGATTCCTTAAACCAGCTTATGTGTAACTTCTGTCCCTAGCCTGACTGTATATGCTTTATTTTGATTACACCTCTCCTGATAGCTGCATTTTTTCCTTGTATCATTGTTGCAGCTCCTTGTTGATCAAATTCTCAGTAATCTGCAGGGAAAACCACATTTGACTTCAGTGAGACTTTTGTCTAATGCCTCCTCATTGTGGCCCTGGGGCTTTCTTAGCTTCCAGCTTGTTTACTGTATGACTTTATTGTACCTAGAATTCAATGGTGTTAGGTATGCTACAGTTACATGGGAAGACAGGTGCTGCTTTTTAAGATGTTTATAATATTAAAGACCCATTCTCCTCCCCTCTCCAAGACTAAAATATATTGAAGAAAAGTTCTGTCACCCTCATCTGTCTGTGATGTGAAGCTGATAAAAAGTTGAAGCAAACCAATGCCACCATTCACAAGAGGCTCTAAATCAAAATCTTGTTACTTTTAAACATTTGGGTACATTGCCCAGCAGTGGGCCTCATCTCTCTCCCTTCTCCTTCCTGCTTCTTCTTTTCCTAGTATCTTTAAACTTTTGCCACTGGTATACACAAGATATGCAGCTCCTGCAACCTGGACTATTTTTTCTATGTCTCTTCCCTCTCTAGCTCTCTTTTTGTGGGGGTGGGGGGAGGAGGGAGGGAAGTTGCTATATCCCTTATCTTCTCCTTTTTCTTACTTTATCCATTCTTTTCTGTGCTGTACAGTGCTTTCAAGTGCAATTTTTATGAAGGTCAAAGGTATAGAGTAGGATTGGAAGCTTTAAAACCTGGAAGCCATGTGCCTCATCACACTGTTGCTTTTATATAAATGTTAATGTATATTTCATTCCCAAATTAAAGCTGATATGGAGGTTGATATGATAATTTGCTGTAGGTGCATGTTTTGATAGCATCTTGACAATTCTTTGCTGTTCAGGTAGTGGTAACTTGTAGGAAATGGGATGTAAGAAAACATGGTTAGGTATAGGCATTCAAAAAGCTCATGGCAGAATTGATCTAAATTACTCGGTTTTCTGTAAGCAGTGTAGGTTATATTGGTAGTGAACAGAACATATATTTGCCCTTTAGTGGGGCAGGACATGCATGTTGCCTGCACTAGATGAGTGCATCAGGTTGGAGGCACTCCTACAAGCCTCCTAGCATGTCCTGTGGGCTCCCCGGGTTGTCAGAGACTACCAAGTGCCCAGGCCACCCCTGATTGGCTGCCAGGAATGAGAAGCATGAACCCCTCCTTCTGCTGTGTCATCTGTCAGCCACAGGCATCTATCAGCTTCAGGCAGGCAGTGGGGTGCGGGGGAAAGGAGGCATCTCTGTCCCTGCGTGAAACCCATCAAGAAGCACCCTACGATGCACATGTAGACCTGACATTGAGTCCAGGAGAACCCCTGCAAGTGGATGCTGTCCCATGGAGCCTGATGTGACTCCTGTGCACCCACTCAGGGACCTCCATGCATCCTGGGAGTGGGTGCAGCCCCACAGAGCTTGACCCCATGGAGCCTGGGCATGGGCAAGCATTCCCCTCACACCCTGCCTCTCATAGCGTGCCTGCAACTAACAGATACTTGTGGCTGAAAGATGATGCAGCAGGGGGAGGAGGGAATGCTTGCCCATGCCCAGCAGCCCAGTCAGGTTTCATGATGCTGTGCCCATTCATGGGGTTATGGGGGTTCCTGGGTGAGTGTGCAGGAGCCAGGGTCAAGCTCTGTAAGGCTGCATCCACTCACAGGGGTTCACTTGGACTCTGTTTCAGGTCTGTATGTAGATTGTCGGGTGTTATGTGATGGGACGCAGATGCCTCCTTTCTCCCCCTGTGCTGCCTGCCTGTGGCTGACAGCTAGCTGGAGGTGGGGCTGCAGAAAAGGTCTGTGCTAGAAAGGATCTGTGCTAACTTGGCTTTGTGGCAGTTTGAGGGTGGGACCCTCTGGGCACTTGGCTGGAACAGCTAAGCACAAGGCAAGTGCTAGCATGCCTCCTTGCGAGAAGGGGCTAGCGGGTAGCCGCAAAGGAGTTTGGGATGCTGGCAGACAGTGACTTAACTTGAATCAATAGGGGAACCGGTACTGCAGTTCAGTGCACCAGTCCCACCTACACTGATTAAGTTTGAGTGCACATAGATCCAGGTCTATCTGAGACTGGATTCTACTGTTTTTAGACCAGTCTGTGTGTGCTGAACTTCTGCTCTGTTATGGGCTTAGACTGGTTTCTGGTGATTTAGACCAGTAAAAGTGTAATGCCAGTATCTGGCTAATGTTCCTGTGCAAAGCAGAACTAGAAAAGCACAGTCCTAGTGAACTTTAGATAAAGCTTGATGTAAAGTATGGACCACTGTGTTGACAGTGGGTTTGGCCTAGCAGCAATCTTATGAAACCACAGTATAAGTTGCAAGTCTTCAGATACCTTTCCCCTATGTGTTCCCACTTGTGTGTCTGTCCTTGGCTCCTTTGACTTTTGCAGACCTAAAGACAACATCTAGAAGATCTGTGCTAATAGGATTCATATAGCATAATGTGAGTTTGAGCAAATTCGAGCCCTGAAAAGCAGAAAGGTTTCCCTACATTAGGTGCACTTTGAAAATAAGGCCCATATTAGGTTAAATTTCAGACATGTAGAGCCTATATGTTGGACAGATAATGGTCAAATAATATGAAGAAATACCTTGGCTGTTTTAGGTATACTGCTTTTTATTAGTGGATCTCAAAACCCATTGTAAAGGGGGACAGTGTGAGTTGTTCCCATTTTACTCTTGGGGGAAACTGAGATACAGAAAAGTGAAGGGCTTCCCCAAGCTCACCTAGCTGGCCAGTGTTAGAGGCTGGAAGAGAATCCAAGTATTCTGGGGTGCTTGTAAACGTGACGGTTATCACGATGTACACATGATGAAAATGTCATTTGTGTGGCTTAATGGCATCATACATTACACATGCATGAGTCTGGGGGTTTTTAGATGAGTTTGCATAATTGCAAACTAAACCACATCTGGATGTAGTTTAGTTTGCAAGGATACGATGCGGCCGTCAGCTTGCCCCTCAGCCATGGGAGAGGTGGGCAGGCTCTGCAGAAAAAAAGGATTGGGACTCTCACTCCTCATGCTTTCAGTAGGTGCCTGCTGAAGGCAGAAGTGGTGCGGGGCCTGATCCTTTTTTTTTTTGTGGGACCTGCCCACCTCTCCCACTGCTGGGGGTGTGGAGTGGACAGGGTGGCAAGCTGCCAGTGGGCTGAGTGGGTCCTAAGCTGCGGTGGACCCTGGACCTTCCCTCCTCAATGGTGGCACACATCGGGGCCGCCCAGGCAGGCTGCTAGTGGGTTGGGTACTGCTTCAGCTTGGAGGCAGCACCTGGCCTGATCCAACTGTTCCCCAAGCCTGCCTGCTGAAAGTGCAGAGGGAAGGACCAGGGCCCCCTGCAGCTCACAGGTCACTCAGCTCACTGGCAGCTTGCCCCCCAGCTGCAGGCAGGCTCTGGCTCTGAGAAGAAAAGGAAAATAAAGGATCGGGCTCGTTGCCATAACATGACAGAAAAATTGAAACATTGGGTTTCAATTAAAAACCCACTGTTTCAATTTAGGTGGCATAGAATAAAACCCTGAGAACTAAACCCCCATTACATGTATAAGCGCCTCTGAATCCTATCCCAGCGCCTGTCCAGTAAGCCATACTACCTTCATGCACATTTGTACACTAAAATTTGACTGTATAGGTTTGAGTCTGTTCTCTAAGAAAAAGTAACACGATTGGGGTGCAGGAATGAACCCAGATGTTATTGTGTTGGAATGGGATTTAATTAAAGACAGTGACATTAATTGCATGACTAGGGGCCACTGTGTGATTAAGGGCTTGTGGAATTAGGCTCATTGGTGTATTTTTCATGCTGCAGACTGCTTGAAGTGTAAATTGACAAACTTGTACAACTGTAACAGAATTGTCATTTACCAGAAAAATTTCAGCGGAGGTTCCTTTCTTACCAATGGCAAGGATGATTTCTCAAAGGGCATCAGATACCATATCTTTTCATCTGCCATAACTGTTGCTGCTGGTGCAAAGTTTCAAAGATAATTTTACCTCACTGCAATGTCTCCATCTACATATGCAGAATAAATAAAAATATAAGCTAAAGCATCAGAGTTCATAAATCTTCACTCTGGTGCAATTTAGAGCTGTCAAATATTGGTATAATTTTAGGGCATTCGTGTCTTAAAGAGAAATATGTGAGGTGTGAACTGCAAACAAAAATACTGTATAATAAGCGCCCCAAAGCATCTTAAAGCAGGGATCCCATTTCACAATCGGAGCTTTAATCTCTCAGGAATAAAACTCTTGAAGTTGAGCTATAGTTCCTATTCTGGCATGTATGCTGCATAATTTATAGTATATGTATCAATATTGTTGATGTTTTTGAAGGGACGTGTGTGTGTACACATATATGTTCATCATTAATATTAATGTTTGAACTTGAAGTATCTTCTTCAGTTAAGTACTTCCCCTTTCCTCTGGTTTTGATGCTTGGTCACCGGCTTTATTTATTTATTTCAAATTAATTTTGCCCAAGTTGAAGCCCTGCAGCTTGTTCTCCGTATCGCTTGCTCATGAAAGCACGCTGGCTGCACAGAGGCATTTGACTGTTTCTCCGAAGTGAGTCGTGCATCTACTTTCTTTAATTTTTTTCCTTCCTTTTTTATCACAGCCAGCCTTTCTCTAGCTGACTGTTCTGTGTGTGTGTGTGTGTGTGTGTGTGTGTGTGTGTGTGTGTGTGTGCGTGTGCGTGTGTGTGTGTGTGTGTAGTATTGCCCAGGCTATGCTGACAGACGACTTTTTTCTCAGTTGTCAGTTTTCTTGCCTGTCAGCAGAGCTGCTGGTAAGTGGAAGAAAACAACAGGGCGGGAGGAGTAAGAGACTGAACCGAAGGAGAGTGAGAGGGAGGACCAACACTGGAGGGAGAGAGGGTTGCCATTCGCAGCATGGTGGAGCGAGGACTCTCAGGGTCCAGCGAATAGAGAAGCAGAGAATCGGGATCTGTACAACTCCCCATCCTCCTATTCACACAGCTTAGTTATTATCAAGGGGTTTTTCCTGCCCCCCTCCTTCCCCTCTCCTCCCTTGATAAAGACCCTTCAGCTGGTATTACTAATCGTATCCTTGGCTTATTGTAAAAAAATCTGTGATGGCTTTCAATCTGGAGATCAGCCTCTAATCCCCTCCATCACACTCAGGACCATGGGATGCTGCCACAGCTACCCTCAGTGCGCACCTGGAGTTCTTGTTGGCTACACACACTTCCTCTAATCAAAGTGAGGGGGGAGGCTTAGAGGTGTTTGGAAAAATGTTTGCTGCTCCTGTGCAGTGTTAAAGGTGGAGTGTGTGCATGTGTGGGGGGTGATATCCATACCTCTCTGAGGTTTAACCAAAGCAATCACCTGCAGCTATGGAGTCACCAACTAAGGAAATTGAAGAATTTGAGAGCAACTCTCTGAAATACCTGCAGCCGGAGCAAATAGAGAAAATCTGGCTTCGTCTCAGAGGACTGTAAGTAATGCTCTTGGGGCTGTTTTTTAAAAAAATCCTTTATCCTCATTGTCATAATTATTATAATACTTTATTGTTCTTGTTTTATGTATACCTTTTAAAAACAGCCTAAGAGTTTCCACACCTGCTCTCTGTAAATACAGTGACTTCCACTTACTCTTCACAAAAGGACAGTCTGCTTCCTTAAAAGCACTGAAACGGCTTGTTACAGTGAACTAACATTTTCCAATGAGAGTGCGGAAATGTCACTAGACGAGGCATTGTAGCATAGCAGCAGTTACCAAGATGTTAATGATTCTGAGTGCTAGTAGTAGAAAAGTTAATATGTACAAAGTGGTACTTAATTAAAGCCTCCTTTTTTTTTAAGATTGTTATTAAACTTACACTGCATGTCACATCTAAATGAATTGCATTTCAGAGACTGGTTCCTGCACTGAAGTAGTTAATACGAACAAATGGAGGAGGCACAGTTGGAAAATGTTTTAAATAGCAGTGATAATGGCAGGATATCCATGTTCTGTTATTAACACTCATGCCCACAGATTGGATTGGATTTATTAATTTATACATCTGTGTTAAGGACAATTTTGCTTTGAAGGGAATAGTGCCTTCTCAATAGAAAGGACACTGTTGTTTAAGAAATATGGTGTGGCGGAGGAAAAAGTAAAACTAGACAGCCTAGAGAGATCTAGAGGTAGGATGTCTTTCCCCCTCCCCCACTTTGTATGTAATAAAACAATGACTACAAGCAATAAGACCCATTAATGCCCATGTATTACTTACTTGCTCCTCTGTTTCTGATCAAGCCTAAAAGGAATCTGATTGTATTAAGCTGCATCTGTCCATATGTTCAGACCTGATATTTTTTTCCATTTTTGAATGTGGGAGTTGTTTAACATTTCATCACTCTAGAGAGATGCTAGTGCCAAGTTAACAATGTACAAGCTAATAACTAAAATCTAGAGTCTAAAAGTTTAAACTTGAGTTGTTCTTTGAGCCGTATTTTGTGTCAGCACTAATGGTATGTTTTATAAAGCACATCCAATACTTCTGTAATAGTGCTAATAGCCTAAAAGTTACACATGATTTCTTTCAAGGTTTCACTCCAGGAAACCTGTTTTGTGAAGAAACTTAATCAAACTAGATGACAGCTGCCTCATACTCATTCCAAATAAAACAGCTAGAACACATCTTTATTTTCACGTCTCTTTTACCATGCTGTAGTATTACTAATCCCTGAATTTGTCTAAAGTCCCTAAATCAGCACACTCCTAGATTATTCTGATAGTTTATTACATCTGAGGTTCAAAGTAGTACATATTTTTCCATAGCATTATTTTTCAATTGCAGGATGACTGATAGTATGTTATAGTGACCATATTATGTGGTCAGATTCTGGTTTTATTATACCCTTGAAAAATCAGAGTAACTGTATTTACTTCAAAGGAGTTACCCAAAGTAAGAATCAGGTTGACTATAGTAAATTTTCCCAATATTAATATTGTGTGTGTGTGTGTGTGTGTGTGTGTGTGTGTGTGTGTGTGTGTGTGTGTGAGAGAGAGAGAGAGAGAGAGAAAACACACTGCTTATACATACTCTTGAGAGTTTCACTGCATTCTTGCTATAAGAAGAGAGATTTTATAAAGTGGATTTTCCCCCTGCCCTCCTCTCCACCCTGCCCCTGTCAGTTGCCTGACTGTAGGACTGTACATATCAGCTTTTGCATTGAGTTGGTCCAACTAGGATTTTATAGAAAGGTTTCAATTTCTGTTCATTTACAAGCATGAATTTAGAACATGGAAGAAACATTGACTGCAAGCTGAGATTTGGCATGCTGCTTTAAATCAGAAATGATTCTTTTAATTTATTCTGTGTGTGTGTGTGTGTGTGTGTGTGTGTGTGTGTGTGTGTGTACACGCATGTGTGTATACACTCACATATGCATGTCTAGGCACACACATCATATATGTAAGTGTATATATTCACACTTATAAAATATACACTTTCAAAGCAAAAGTGTAGATCTTTTAAAATATTTTTAACCTTTACCTAATGTCTTTCATCTCAAAAGGTCACGGATGCTTTACAAGCCGGATACTGTGATACATATAGGAATCTATTTCCCCCACCAGTAAAATGCAGACCACTTTATAATACAGGAGTCATTTAGCAGACCCATGAGTTGTACAAAACAGCATAAGAGAGCAAGTTAAACAATACTGCCAATTAAAACTGCTATAGGAATTTTAGGTTAGCAGAATGCAGTTACCCAAATTGGATATTTGATCATGACACTGAAAAGGGCCATGGGAATGTTAACGATCACAGATGCTCAGAAAGCACCTGCAGTAACACGGTACCCCTTAATACCATATGGAGTACTTACTCAGTAGTGACTCAGAGGACAGACCAATGTATTGCATCACCACCTCCTGCAGCACCTAGGTTTTCCAGGGAGGTCTATTTAAATTCTCACTATAGTAAGCAGGTTCAGATTGAACATGATGAAAGCCCAGTACTTTTAAAGGCTCCTGTATATCAAAAATGTATTCTGCTTACACAGAGTAAGAGCAAATCTTGACCTTGTGCAGCTGGTGAGGAGTGTATTTAGTTCAGGATGTTTAGGATTTGGAAGGTCATGCAAAACATATATGTTCTGTTTATAGCAAAGTGTTCTGTGAGAGTGTGCAGGGGGAAGGCTGTGTAAATTTGGGACCAGAGGATCTGCTGCAATGTGCATCATCTCTGGGCAGGGGCACACAAGAGCCGTCCAACAGGCTTCCCTTTGTGGACTGTCTTTATTTGTAGTCGCTACCTAGTGTTTAGCTCAGTCACTTGGGCAACATACTGGCATGAGGATTTGGTCCATTTACAGTTTAAATCCTCTCCCATTAGTATTTTAAGAATGAGCTACAATATGTTTTCTTGAATGTTTTTAATTAATGCATACATATTAATATTCTGATATTTGCACACAGCATATTGATACAATGTGAAGAAATGTTTAGTCCATGGAACATAGTGGTGTCTCCAGGTTTAAAAGGAAAGCGGGCCTCATTGAGGTTATGGAATCATATCTGGCAATAAGTCACAAATCACCTAACAGGGAACTGTGGTGTAAGTGACTGTCTTGTAGGTTACCTAAATCCATATTCATTTGGTTTCATTTTAATCACAATCCAAAAAACGCCTTCATGGAATTGTTTGTTAATCAAATGTTTTAAAAATCAGTCCCCGAATAACTTATTTCTGGTGACAGAGTGCTGTCTGAGCTCTGAGCTGCATGAAATTTTATTTAAGGTTTTTTTCTTCCAGAATTTTTGTTAGCCGCTCTGTGCTTGCCTCAGGGAATCAGGATGAGATTTACTTCCAGATTTTACCCTCTAATTTTACTGGTGTGGGCTTTTATTTATGTACAGTAATCATCACTTGAAAATAATCTATCTTCGCTGGCAACAACCTTGCTAGTTTTGCACCTGGCAAGAGTGTGTGTGTGTGTGTGTGCGCGTGTGTGTGCGCGTGCGTGCGCGCACATGTGTGTGCATGCGCCCCAACATTTGTCCCAAAATAAACCCATTCTTGAATCTAATACAATGAAAATAAAGGTGTTGAGCTGTGAGTAGCTTTAGATTTCTTTATTTCTGACTCAGGCAGTAACTATGTTCCCATTCATCCCCCAAGCTCCAGGTATAAAGGGTTTCCATAATATTCTGGATCTTATCCTTCTCTCACATTGGCTAGTGGCCAGCACTGTAGCTCCTGGGCCTAGAGAAAACCTCCACAGTTCTTAGGAATCCAAGTATAGGGGAGCGGATGGCCCAAGTTGGGAAGTGGGGTAGAAGCAATGTTCACTTTTTAGAGCACTGAAGATGGGGGAACGCATTGAGCCTACAGGCTAAGTGGAGCCCAAGAAAGAGATCAGTGGTCAGCCATATCCATTTTATGGGGGAATTGCTCACAGCATTTTAGGTTCTTTCATGTGCTGCCCTATCTTGAGTCAAACGCCTTACTTGTCCTGCTCAGAGCAAAAAAAAAGCAATGAATGTCCCCTATCTGTGTGCTGCTTCACCATGTTTGTTAGTTGTGGGCTGTTGGCCTGCTACCATTCCAATACATGCAAATTGGGAGGGGGGGGCACATTGCCAAGTGCACTCGCACACAGCTGGTATCCATGCAGCACTTGTCCTGTTGGGCAATTGATGATCAGTTCTCTTTGATTTCTCTGCTGCCACTTGGATGCAGAGCCATCCATTTGTTTCCTCATATGGGGGTCTGCTTTGCACAACTGCCTGTTATTCCTGAAGTATTCATCCATGAAGATTGACAAGCTTAGACTGCAAGAAACTCCGTTTCTTAAGGATGTGCCAATTGTGTGTTTATGGTTCCTAGCAGCTGCTTGTGAGAGAAATGAAACTTGAAATCTCACATTTTCAAGCAGGAAGCGTGTACTGTCTCTGCAATATGTACTTCATATATAAAGCTCTTCTTCATTCAAATCTGTTTTGCCAAGCTAAGGACTCCGACATTTTTTACTTAGCAGTCCTACAAAACCACCAATGTTAACTTTGACACCAACTCATCTGTGTTTTTTGAAAACCACTGAATTAATATAACTAGCTTTGTAAATGCAAAGATTTGTTCCCCACAAAAGATATGAACTGATTTTAGCACACACAAAACACTGGCAATGGCACAACTTTAAAACGTGATTTGGAAACAAGACCTCTTGCCTTTACAGCTGAGAGAATGGATAATTATGACCCAATTTTTTCTTCTTTTACTTGAAATGGATTCAAATGCCCTGTTCCATAGCTAAACATGCCTATAAATGAACTAAAGAATGGTTTCATTTACTGATGTGCATAAAATCGGGAGCTGTGTTGAAGCCCTCTCACAAATTAAGATTGAGTGAGTGTTTGCTTAAAAAGCAAAGGGTTGCCTGGTGTCAATCCTGAAAGCTCCATTAGTTTTAGTGGGGCTCTGCTGATTTATAGTAAGTG